TTTTAGATCTTGATTTTTTGTAAGTTATTTTATGGCAATTTAATTCTTTATGACTTAATTGTATTCTTTTCGTATCTTTATTTCTTTAGATAAATATTATATTTGGGTTATTTTGGGTAGTTCCAACTTTTTAGAAAAGCCATAAGTCATTTTGGAAATTTGACTTTATTTTTAGGTTATTCATGCATATATCCTCGTGTATATGCATGTATACATCTACAGCTCATTAAACCTCTGAGGCATGATTCCCTCCTCTAGGCCTAATAAGAAAGATTAATACTCAAATAAACAGAATAAAATTATAAATTCATAGACAAACTTTAAAAAAATAATGTAAAACTGCTAAGTTTATTAGAAATAAAAGTTAATTTAGTGTTGTAACTATTTTAATCGAAATAAATATTGCGTAAATGCGATTTGAGTTCAAGATCAAAAGAGTGGATTTACAAGATGACTCGTTACTCAACTAGCATGTCTACACACTTTTCAATAATGATTACGAAAATTAGAGTCAACACATTATGTTCAAAACATGTTCCATATTTGTTACTGCAATATCAAATACGATTACGAAAACCCTTAAAGTTCAAATTACCTTAGCCTACGCTAGTCTTCTGCAGCAATGGAGTGAAGACGTGGTAAGAAGAATTTTTACAAGAAAAATGGTCAAAAGATTCAATGCCCACTCCAGAACAAAGCTTCAAGAACTCGTCTAAACCTAGCCCACCGAATTTTTCTTCTTCATTTTCAAGAAATTTCAAGATTTTTCTGAAAAAACCGGCATCACATGGCAGGACCAACCCACCGGCTGTCGGGAACCCGAATTCCTCCGCCGCCTCACGGAGGATATCAACGAAAACGGGCAAGTTCAGGAACCGGGTCGGGATAACGAATCGGCAGCGTTCTGGGCCCACGTAGACTGCCAATGATCCGGAAGGGGTCCTGTTTGAACTGGCCGATTCGTCAGAATCTGAGGAAGAGTCGTAGTGTGGAGTCCTCTGCTTAAGGCTGTTGTTTTTCCAGCGCCGGACGACTTGTCTCAGCCTTACGATTTGAGTGATGACGTTGCTTTTCTTGATGGCTGCGGCCATGATTTTGGGTTTTGAAGCTGAGCTCTTTTCAATTTTAGAGAGAGTTAGATTATAGTGGCAGTAGATTTAAGTAATAATAGCTAAATTAGCCATGGGAAGCGATTTACCTAAAATAGCCCTCTGTATTTTTTCTTTTCTTCGAAGGCAAAATATTAAGTGTGTGTTTGATAAATATTATTGAGGAAAAATGTATTTTAAATAGTGATATAATGGAAAATAAGTGGTTAAAAAGTAAGAAAAAATTATTGATATAATGAAAAATATTATTTTATTAAAAAATGTGCAATTGAAAATGAGTTTTGAAAAAATATATTTTTAAATAATGTGTGTCAAACATGGGTTAAACCCCTGTTTGGTGGATAAAAAGATTTTATTTTATTTTATTTTGTAGATTTTTAAAAAAATTGATGAAATGTAAGGTCGAAGAGTCGTGGATCCCATAAATTTAGTTAAAATTAATTATCGATTTTGATTTAAATTAAAATTAATCAAATATGGGTTGAATTTCTTTTGATGATTCTAATTTTTTGGGTACACTAGGGGTGGCAATTGTATCTATTTTCTACCGAAATCAACATTATTCTTTCTAAAAATCCTTTTACCATGATAAGAACTACACATTTTTAAAAAGAACAATATATATCCAATTTATTAATGTCTTTGTGAAATAAAACTACTATAGTAAATTTAAAAAAAGTCTGGAAAAATGTGTTACAAGGAAAAAATAGTACGAGGAAGATTGAAATTTGGGGTAAAAAGTTGTGGTAGGTGAAAATGAGGGATAATTGCATTAGTTAGTCAAAGCGAGCTGTAAATAAGGCCCACATTGCAAGCTAATTGTCACATGCTTGAGAAATTACTAAGATCTTCTAAATATTATTTTAGCTAATTTTAATGCGTAATCAATGGCCTAGCTTTGATTTTAGAGGCCATTTTTCCATGATGTTTGCTATGGGAACTGTAGCAAATTAAATAATTTACTGGGTTAATTATTAATTACTAAATTAAGTCACTGTTGAGGCACATGGGCGCCAGCAAGAGTATTGCTGCCTTGAACACTTCTTTTACTTTCCAATTTTTGGGAAGAAAACTCGCTTTAATTTTATTTTCAACGAGTGTTCGTATACAAATTCATCCTATCCTACATCCTATCCTATCCTATCCTACATTAATAAAAGAGGCACTTGCCATTTACTGTAGCTAAGCCGAATGGCCAAATAAGCCAGCCATTTTCGAGCACAATAAGCCGAGCCTAAGCCGAGCTATATGAGGAGATTTTTAGATTCTTCTCTGACACACGCAACATTTTCCTTTTACGCAACATTTCTCGTTCTTTCTTCAGACTTTTCCAGTCTTTCCTTCTTTCTCTCTCGATTTCTCTAGATTCTTCTTCTCTCCCCCTTCTTTCTTTCTGTGAAGCATCAAGATGAGTAGAACTCATTTTTCTTTTTGTTCTAATCCAAAACTCCCCTCCAAAAACCAATAAAAAAAAATCAAGAATTCCCAAGCCCGCCTCAATTTTTTCACTCAAGCTGACTATTTTTGGCGCATAACTCTAGAAGCAGAAAAGGCAACAAATTTATACGAAAGCCAACTCAATTCACCGCCGATGCTGCTGATGTATGAATAGGTGAGTAAAATGGGGTCTTGAGAAAAATGGCTTGCATGCAAAGCCCCGGATTTCGCCTCTCTTCATCAACTTCTACTAATTTTGGGGTTTCAAATCCGTGGAAAATTTTCCATTTTTGGTTGGATTTGATTTAATGGAAAATCGTGTGCTTGCGTATAATGGTCAATGTCGAATGTTGTGTAAACTCTGCTTCGCTGTTGCCTGTTATTTGGCGGCATTTCTCAACTTTGATCCTTGCGGTGAAATTTGTTTGAGGAAAATGAATTAGAAAGGTTTAACTCTATCTTGGTCATTCTGACTTAACAAATTCCACAGATTTCTCTCTATCGTCTCTCATTTCCGTTTCCATTTTTTTTTTTTTTTGTAGGTTATGTTGG